AAGAAAAAATCTATTCACTACAGGAAACAAAGCTCCTTTTTTTCCTTTTCTTTAAACTGTCTTCTCTTCATCTATGTTTCTGACAGCATCCATCACTTTGATAGTCGATCACAGCATCCAGCAATCTAAGTCTCCTCCCTATGGAGCTTCTTTTGTAATGTTACCCTAATAAGATGCAAAGATTCTGAGCCCAAAGAGTGGCAAATTTGCAGCATGTACTTTGCTGCATGTTAAAAACACAAGAGACACTGCAGTACAGCCTGACTTCCAGCACAGGTAGCAGCGTGAAGCTATACGGCTGAGACAAGAATTTCAGTCATTAAAAGAATCGGCTCCCTTTGTTTTCTTTATTATGTATGCATTTACAAGGGAGCTACTGAAACAAAACACAGCGTTTGAAGGAAACACAAAATTATATACACACAAAAGCATTTGCTCCCTGAATGTTAAACAGACTAACACACATGGAGCTCTCAATGATGCCTCTACAGACAATGAGGCACACTAGGAGGGAAAATGAGGTGCTCCGGTCTAGCGACAGGATTGAAAGGCATTATACCTATAGCAGAAGAAGACTCCCTAGGTACCAGGGAAAAATATAAGCTAGCTGCTGCAAATTGCTAAGCTGACAAAACATGTAGAAGATGTTCCTCTTAAACAGCTCTTCTGGTTTGCAACTCCGGTGAGCTCCAGATTCCACCTTTGTGATGGCCAGGAACAGCACCCGCTCTCAGCTGTTGGTGAGCTCAAAGCAGCAGTGATTCTTTTGTTACTCTCAATCCTGTCACCTGAATTATGGATGACTTCTGCCTAGGCCTGCTGAGTTTTGTGTGAAAGTGGACCACATAGCACACAAAATGCTTTCTTCTATATTGATCAAGAAATTCCAGTGTTACAGACAGAACTGTCTACTACCAGAAAACCAGAAATGAGTAAATTAATAATTACAGGTTTTGTCTTATATCCACCTCCCATTCTGTCCTCTCCCCTGAGTTTTTAAGAAATATCCAAAGTACCCATTTAGCTGACAGTATTAGTCTCTCATGTTAATAATGTAATATCTTGAAAAAAGTACAAATAATAAAGGCTTGAGAAAAGTACACGTTTGTGCAAGTTACTAAGTCACCTCTCTGGAAAGAACTGACCACATCTGAATCTAAACCAATGAGGAGAACTCCTCCCTGATTTTATATATACTGATCTATATTGATCAGTCCCAGACATGACTATCTCTAAATATCTGGAAATAATATGTAGAAAGCTTGGTTTAAGAGTGTGTCAAGGTTGTTTTCTTCTTAAATGCTGCAACTTTCAGTTTTTTGTGACTGAATTCTGACCAAAAAAAAAAAAAAGTATTATACCAGTGGACTCCCAAACAAGCTTTACGCATTTGCACCAAAATATTGGAACACGGGGATGTAATACACATAAAATACTGGTTATAAACAGAAATCCATAAATAAAAAGCTTCTGAATGCTCTATCAAGGACTTTGAAAAAAAGATTTTTGAGTTCAACCGTTAGCCCCCAGTATAACGGAAAATACATTTCACTGTAGGCTTCGTTATTTTAAACACCACATAACTCAGCTAAGGTTGACAGCACAGCTAGTCATGGTCACCAAAATAGTCCAAATCACTGAGGAAGCATCACAGTTTCAACCTCCCTGAACTTTTTTAATGCTGTCAGCACAATACTGTGGGGAGTAATAGCGTAACATGATCTGGACTTCATCTGGACCAAGAAGGTAACAAATTGCCTTAAACTTTCAGCAAGCACTCAAGTTCAAGTTGACTAGTTTCTGAAGCATCCATAGTGCTTGGGTAACTGTGTGCACTTCATCTGTGTGCTGCAGTGCTGCTAACTACCAGGAATCGAAGAGATTACAACTTTCTCTTATCACAAAACTTCTGATTTAAATACAATCACTATTCACACAGCTCACGTAACAAAACTAACTCTGAAGCGCTAATTCAAATGCAGCCTTTAAGTCTTTTGAAATTCTGCTGTTAAGCACAGTCTTTAAGACTTTGACATCATATTTTGGTTGCACTATATCTCAGGATGTTCGATATGGAAGGGTATCTGTCCTTACTGAAGCTAATGGGATTTCTGAGGAATCACAGCCAAGGAGTGTCAGGACTTTAGAAGATTAATATCCTGTCTGGGACTGCACAAGTGTGTTTTGTATCACTTCGCACTGACTATGCCACAACAGCCTCAGAAAGCCAATCCAGCTTGGCCTACAGATTTGAAGAAGCAACCTGCCAAATGTCATTTCTATCTATATTTGCTACTCGATTCCTCGTAAAGTGCCTCAAGCTAAATATCCCCAGAAACAAGAAAATTGCCAGCTCCCCAGATGACATCGGAAACACTGAAGGGCAGTACCAGGCAGGAGAGCATCGTACTGACCTGTGTGCGGGTTGAGAAGGATACTGCCAGGCGGTATCCCTGCAGCTTCAAGTGGAAGAATGATATAGCTGGTGTTGCTGGGGGCCACCTGGGCACTCATCCCATTCTCAGGGTAGGACATGCTGCCTGAAGAGCTGGCCGTCACCCCAGGGACAAGAGATGCACTTTGGAGAGGCTGATGTATTCGTGACAGTGATCCTGAGGAGCCAGCGCTGCTGGAAGACTCTGAGCCTAACAGAGAGATACAACCGCAGCAGGGGGGGTTACAAGGGACCCCAGTCCCCATCAGACACAGCGCATACACAAGGACTGCCTTCACAGACTGCAAAGCAAGCACTAGTCCATGCCCAGCTGGTAGGAGTGGGGTTTTCACTCCCTACCGAGCTCAGTATCCAGTAGTATTTCTACAATTCAAAAGACCCCTTTCCTCCCGCAACAGCTGCTCCCCCTCAGCCAGTAAATAGTTTTATCAAACAGAACACAAAATGCTCAGCATGTGTTTGTAATGCCAAAGTATTGGTTCATAAGGTATAAAAACTACACGCGGGGTTCATAAATGAAAAAGAAAAAAAGCCCACCAAACACAACACAAAACTCCACCAAACATTTTCTGTAAGAAAAATTAAAAAAAAAAAAGCATCAACAACTGAGTTGTCAGTCAAGTAACAAGGTAGCTGTGCCATATGTGCATGAACTTAAAGCTACCCAAGACTTTTGCCACTTTGGTTTTTCAGCACATAGCCTATCACAATCAATCAATCAAGATAAATCAAATGTCCTAAAACACATTTGTGCCTGGAAGGATGTGCAGATGTGTTATATTTAAAAAAAAAAAATAATATAGATATATAATTTCCAAACCTCAGAGATTTTACTTGATTAGATTTCAATTTGCTTCACATAAAAATGACAAGAATCTCTGAGAGTGTAAGGCTCAGATGAATTTGGCTTTCTTGAAGTAGGACGTTAAGGCAAATACAAGGGAGGTGTGAACACAAATGTCTGCATGGATGCTTCCTCCCAAAAGTTAGGCATATTTTAATTGCAACGTCTTTTATTTTACCTCTGTGCACTGTCTATGCATCTTACCTTAATTACTAACCTCCTTAGTGCCCTTCTGCAGGTATAGACTAAAAGAAAAGACAGAACTCAGACAGGTTTTAGCAAACATCTTAAGAGGGCAAATTACATCCCTTCATATTTGGAATACTACAGGAAGATCCTGCAGTAGACCTGCTTCAACCCTCAGATTCTTTTTCAGTCAAATCCATAATGGAATTAATTTACTTCCTCACAATTAGAGCAAAATACGTTTCCTCTGAAGAAATCACACCAGCATCCTGTTACTTAACAGAGGGTCTTTCCACAGATTACTGCAGATTGTTGTGTAAAACACATTTTTATCCATCTTCTTCCAACTTCATATTCGTACGGCAGCCACTACAGACAGTCCTCTATGAGCTGTGCATTATTTGCCATCAGTAGGACTCTAAATCTGCTTCTCCAGTATCTAATCAAGAAAGTAATAAAGATTGCAGAAGAAATTTTTTATTTCTACAAATACACTACAAGTTGTATTAGTAGCTACGTTTTTTCCCCTCCTTGTAGACCGAGGCTGGAAATTTAAAAGATTATTCCTGCAGGGATAGTTTTATTTATAGGATCATTTCAGATTTCAGTGGTTCTACAAATTGCAGAGATATTCCTGGAGGTCACCCTCATCAAGTTGTAAGCAGTATTTGGCATCTTCTTCACAAATGTAAATGAAACCACTGATGTTTAATTTTCATTCTACAGCAGTTACCAGGTCCTTTTCTGCATTTCCCTGGCCCTTCCACATGCCCTTCATGTTGCTTCTTTGAGTTCTTGCTTTATTTTTTCCTCTTTTCCATCACCTATAGAATTCAATGAGTTAGAAAGCTACCTGGAGATGCAGGAGTGGTGATGAGATTTCATAATCCTCCCATTATTGCTAAGCATATAAGTAGTATCAAGTCTGAGTTCAGATGTCGCTATCCCCGTTTTGTCCTATTCTGAAGAAACACTGTTGGCGTAAAGAACATTGCAGCTCTGACATTCAACTGTTTTTTTTCTTTACCCCTTTCAGCTGTTTTCATGGCAGAATCACGAATTGATCTTTACCATCTTCTGAATGTTACAAGCCAAAGGACTGCAATGAATTCAGATGTGCTCATCAAATGGCAGGCAGAAGTAGTGGAAAAACCTCTGGAGCTATCACCCCACATTGGCTGAGATGATCCCAGATCTGCTCTCCTATGCCAGTAGATCAAGTTGGTGATTTTGGAAGAACACGAATAAGACACAAAAGACTCCAGCAATTTTCTGAATATTTAAAAAAAAAACCCAGAAATTACTACTTAACCAATTTTGCCCCCATTTATCCTGTATAAGAATGATCTCTATTTTTTTTTCCCATCACTACAACTTATTTCCTATAATTTTAAGGTCTAGACATATTAAGCTAAGTAAATTACAACACTAATGTTTGGAAATTAACATCAATTAATCTTGTCTTTGTAGCTCTGACTAGCTGTTTTCATGGTGTCTAAAGTTGGAATAAGAAATCACCACATAATGAATTCAGTACTGTAGCAAATGAAAAAAAAAAAGCCATCTGACTTTATTCAGATTCACTTTAAAAGACGTCTTGTTAAGGACTTCTGAAACGAATTTTGACTAAATGAGATTTTTGCCCCCATTACACAAACCAACCTCTTTTTTTCAGTATGCAACGATAGCTACTTCTTCTGGATTCTTCTATAATTTTCTTGCTGTTTCACAGTTGACATAATAATAACCTTCACATTCTCATCACTTTCTATTAATACATTTTTAAAGTATTCTGAGAGATACAACAGTTCAAAGAGTGGTAAAAGAAAGCGAGACAGAAAAATCACCACAAACTCTTAATAGCTTAGCGGGAGGGAGAGCGTGGAGGTACCATTAATTTTCCAATATTCTGAGTGCTAGTGAGCATTGCGGCATGTCTTGCTCTATTTTCTTTGGGTCAGCATTCAGCATCTGATGACTTTGAACATCTCTGCTCACCCCACCTTCCAAGCCCGAGGTAAATTTTTCCTTTCTATGTACTGGACTCCCAAGATCTACCCACTACTTGCTCCAGATGGTCAATTTTTCAGTAACAGTAGAGCACTGATCACTTCTGGAAGTATTTTGTCTTGGGTATAATTTCTTGATTAGGACTATTTATTTGTACTTCTGTAAGCCACTTGCATTTCTCTATATTACAATGTATTCAGGTTTTTTATGATAATGGTACGTGCTGATGTGAACACAATTATTTCTCTGCAAGCTGCACTTCTAAAAATCAGATTGATGTTTCAGAACAGTTAGTTGGTGGAAAGAGTATACCTGGAAGCAGTTGGCTCATGATTTATTTCCCTTACATCAACATTCTTGCAGTTTCTCTTGGACTGACAAGATCCATGAGGCTGATGCCCGATTAAAGAAAATCATAAAGAAGCAGAAATTCAGTTCCAAAACTCTTTACAAAATTATAATTTACAGGACACTTTATATAGAAGAAAAAAAAAAGGTTAATGTATTCAAATGCCTGCAGTATAACCATCTTTCCCCAACAGGAGCAGCAATGAACACCTCACAGCAGAGATTAGACTGTGGCTTCGATTACTTGGAGCCCTGCCAAGGAAGTTAATGATCCCTGAAGATCTGTATCAACACAGCCAATACCCCAATGCAGCCAGCTTTTTGTAAATGGCGGGGGAAGAAACACTCCAACAGATGTGCATTCCACTGAATGGAAAACGCATTAAGAGAAGCTAAAGATGCAACAGTTACATCTTTTAAGTCCTTCAGCAATTATTTAAATAGATATATAGATACATAGCGGACATTTCTTTGAAACACATCTTGTCTTCCCTTCTAATAATGTATATTAAAACCTGTTGTAATGTGTCAGTGAAAATAACATGGTAGTTGATGAGCTTGATTTTCTCTTTATAGGTGTGTTAGAGACTGAACAGGTACATCTTTGATGCCTACAGGGACATCTATTTCACTTACCACTCTACACGCTTAGTCAACCCTGCAAAGTCCTCTATATTACTGTAAATCTAAACTAACTAACATTTTGCATGATGTCCTAAGTTGTAGGAATGCAATCTGATGGCAATTTGTTAAATTATTAACTCCCCACTCCATACTGAATTATAGCTTAATACATCTCTATATAGCTACCAAGCTTCAGAGTAATAGAGAAGAAAATTTTATTTGCAATATACAATCTGTGCTTTTCAGTGGAACAGGGCTTTCTAAACAATCAACAGGCACACGAAAATAACCATCAAAACCAGTAAGATAACCATGTAATTGGTTTCAAACAGCGCCTTTTGCGAAGTTCGAAGAATGAAGTAACATAATTCCTCTGCTAAGCCCTCATTCCCATGCAGCTGAATGCAATTAAAGTCTAAGACACTTACTGGACTCTACCGCAGATAACAGCACGTTCTATTATACAATCTGTCTTTGCCTAAGGGGAGGTTAACATCTTTCTGTGCTTCAGTTTCTGCATGTCTGCTATGTACCATTAATTACTGATTTATCAGAGGTTAAGCTTAAGAGCAGAACTTCTAATTTTGATGACAATATTAAAAATTGTCCAGAAAGGCTACAATGCTAATATCACACCACTGTATACACTTCCAAAGGCAGCTGTGAGCCATCTGTGAAAACCCTGAAAGTTTTAATATTCCCATACTCAATGTTTGACAATGCTTCTAGATGAGTGTCATATATCACAGAATCATAGAATGGTTTGGTTTGGAAGCGACTTCCAAGATCACCTAGTTCCAACCCCCCTGCCATGGCAGGGACACCTCCCACTAGACCAGGTTGCTCAAGGCTCCATCCAACCTGGTCTTGAACACTGCCAGGGATGGAGCATCCACAACTTCCTTAGGCAACCTGTTCCAGTGTCTCACCACTCTCAGGGTGAAGAACTACTTCCTTGCATCTAGTCTAAACCTGCCCTCTCCCAGCTTCCAACCATTACTCCTCATCCTACCATTGCAGGCCCTTGTAAAAAGTCCCTCCCCAGCCTTCTTGTAGGCCCCCTTCAGGTACTTGAAGGCTGCTGTAAGATTTCCCCAGAGCCTTCTCCTTTCCAGGCTGAACAAGCCCAACCCTCTCAGCCTGTCCTTTTAGAAAAGGTGTTCCAACCCTCTGACCAT